GCTGTTACACTTAAAAAAGGAGAATTGTTTGTAGTTGCTGTCCAAATATCAGCGGTTAAAGAAATATATTTTGTTTCTGTTAAACACAGAAACACTTCAGCTTTTTAAACAATGTTGAAGTTTACATGCATCAACAATTAAGTGTTGAGATTTATTTTAGAAACAAAGGAAGAGATTGTTGATTTTGCAAGGATATTCGATCGTCTCTTGTTTATCTGACCTGAGGGAGATGGAAATACCAGGTGGAGAAAAATGGGTTTTTTCCATATTATAATTAACTGTATAATTAACTCCAGGATCTCACACTATTAATGCAATAAATTATTAACACTAATCGGCTGATAACGCATGGCCGATTAATCGGTAATCGGCCATTTTGCTTATCAGTGCATCCTTAGTACTAAATAGTAGTAAAGTCTAGCTTGCTATAGCAGTTTGACAATTTCATTGTTAATTTGCATATTTAATGNGAGAAAAGCAATCGACATTAGACAGATTCTTTAACCCTTTCAAACGGAAAAAAACATGACTAATAAAAATGCAAGACTGTGTACGTATGTATTTTTATTATTACATATAAATAAACGTAGTAAGAAAGTATATATTTTTTATTTTTAGGGGTCTCCAGAACGAATTAATTAAATTCCCATTAAAACCTGTGGTAAATCGATAATCGGTTAACGAACAATTTGGATAGCGAACAAAGTCTTGGAACGGATTATGTTCGTTAACCGATCACCCACTGTATATGTCTCCCTTGATTAATGTGATTAATAAATTTCTTGATGTGTACTGCCTATATCAAAATCACAGTAATCAAATACAGTGGTATCTTGTTATTCAATCAAAGAACAATTACCACCTGCTAGAACAAATTTTCGGTCAATAACAAATATTTTTATTTTAACTTTAATTTTTTCATTCATCCTTAAAAAAGTTCTCTAAGATAAAATGAGTATCTAGTTTAAAAATAAAATAAAACCTTACTGCTGCCTACCTTCATCAAACAAAATTATAGTAGATTCAGTTCACATTTTAATAAGTGGGGAAAAAAAACAAACTGCATGCAAAACACAATCATCAGCATGTTTTACAACCATTTCAAGTGGATGCAATGTTTCAATGATACATGTCTGTGACACACTAAGATTTGTTGCAAATTCAATCTTTAATAATTTCTTCCTGCAATTTCTCTTCAGCAGCTTTTGGGTGCCCATATGTTTTGTATCCTTTAGTTTATAATTTTCCGAATGATACTTTCAAAACCACATTTGACTCATTCGGAGTTTAGAAGCATCTTCCCCATACACAGTACAAATATTTTTTTACTGTTTGTATAGCGTGATATCCTTTACAAAACTTAAAAAGCATGAGTAATGCATCCAATTTGCATTTCATCTTGCAGACATTTCAACTTGATTTTATTCAAACAAAATGTGATGTAAAAAGGTTTAAAACAAGCTTCAAAACAAAGTATACAATCTCATCAGGAATAATGTGTTAAATTTCACAACTTATAAATATGTGATGTACCAGTAATTATGTTAAGTAAAAACAGCTGTTAATAAAAATACACAAAAGCTTTCTGTTCAAATCCCCAATAAAATTACTGTAATACCGTAGTCGTATTTTGCTATTCTGGGGCATGTATTGGCTATGTGTATTTTTAGACTTTTTTATGATTTTATATATGGTAGGCTTGTAAACTTCTTGTTAAATTTTTGTTAAATCAGATAAAGATACTGATTTTTCTGTCATATGATCCAATTTACCTTTCCGTTTCCACGTTAGACAGGTTCCACTATATACAGGTTAATTTACATTAATTTTTGCAAAATATTCAAGCGACCAAAGAAATTTTTCATTAATGACAGATTTTTGCTAAATTCAGATTCTGTTATAGACAGGTTTGACTGTATTTGTTCATTTT